CCCACCCCCACCCCCCCAGCTGTGGAGGTGGAGGGCCTGTCAGTAGTTGGGGCCCATTGTGCAAGCCGCCAGCGTGGAGCTGTATGAGCTGTGATGGAGGGCCCTGGACCCTTGCTGTTGTCTTGCCTTTCTCTGCTGATTTCATGCTTCTTTTATCATTCACTTTCACACAAAACAAACAACACCGAGGATGTCTGCTGTGGGAACTAGTGCCTCTCTCTCTGACTCAAACTGTTCACTTTCTCCACTATTTTCTCTTCTACTCCTCTTTCAAACAACTTTTACCCTGATTTTAAACTTTTTTAACAGCCTTTTCTTTCCTTCTTTATATTTTCTCCTTTCAGCGTCTCTTCTGGCCCTGCCGCACTCGCCTTTTCTCTTTTCTTTTCACCGTCTTCCTGCCGTTGGACGACTTTCTAGTAAATCGTTGCACTTGTTCCCAGTCAACATCCTGTTACAACATCCTGTAGGGCATCAGCAGTCCGCCGTGTGCTGTGGGACCAACTCGTCGGCTAATAGTTATTTTCTCCTCTCCAGTTGATCCCCTGCACTTCCTCTGAGTTGAACTGGGTGTGTAATCCCGTCCCTCCCCGTCAAACTAAACACCTCTCTCCACTTCCTGCTCTCCTTCTCTTCTCTCCTCTTTCTCTTTTTTCACTTGCAAATGGCCCTACAATCTGTTTACCCTGGCCAGGGAAGAGTGCCTCGGCCCCTCGGCAAACATTTGCACTCGCACTTAAACTCCTGGCTACCGAGGCGCTTGTCCCCCCATGTCATGTGAATCAAAAGAGGAGCCTGTCTGTCCACATGAGTATGGAAATGTCATGCTCCACCAGAGTGCACCAAGTACACAGAAAAAAGTTTTACTAAGAATGTGCTGTTTTGTAGTCACTGGACAAAACTAGTTTTAACTTTTTGCTAAAAATAGAAGATAGGGCTGCAGCTAACAGTTTTGTTTTTTTTATTTTTATAACTGACTTTTCCCATTAGTCACTCTGTAAATTTGAATAAAAATTAGCCATCACAATTTCAGATGGCCCAAAATGAAATCTCCAGAATGCATGTTTTGTCTAACCAACATCCTCTCATGTAACAAAGGTCAGAAAATGTTTGACACGTTTACTCGATAAATGACTTAAGCCACCAGTTAAATATTAAAATCATTTCTGGCAAAATGTTCTGTTGATTCAGTGATATGTTGACATGTTCAACATTAAGATAAATCAAATGCTGCTGTGTGTGTGGATGTGTGCACTGACTTCAGTATGCTGCGTTTTTCTGTGTGTGCTTGCTTCAGGTGTTTGCGGTCTCATCGTCCAACAAGAGGACATGCCGTTCTGCGATTCAGGCATCTGTCCAGATATTATCATGAACCCTCATGGATATCCCTCCAGAATGACGGTATGGCTCTTCACAACTGTGGAAAAGCATGTTGTTGGGCTGCAGCAAGCACAGTTACCCAAAGTCGTGTCTTATTCAAACAAAGAAAAACAGCAAATTTGGGGAAAGTCATCATAATAGTTTGTTTTAAATT